GCCCCCAAACTGCACTGCCTGCTCTCACGCTGCGTTAAATTGGCGCAGCGCGGCACGGGGATTCATTTCCGCGACGCAAGAAATCACATCTGCGCAGATGCAGATGCCAAAAATCACGGGCAGGCACGATCCAGCCCACAGAGGGATCTCCGCAGGACCGATCCGTCCCAGGCCATATAAACCTTGCCGACCCCTGTGGTAGAACATGAGACTCTTAATCTCAGGTTTGTGGGTTCAAGCCCTACATTGGGCAAGAGAGGGGCTGGACTAGAGGACCCCGGATTGTTCCTTCCAACTCTACAATTCTATGATTCTAAAATGTGGGAACACCAGGAGAGCCCTGCCAGATCCGAGCCAAGGTTCATCTCCCCTCAGCAGCCAGCCCCCTGCCTCTGGGAAGCCTCACAAGCAAGTAAGGAACGCCGCAGCCCCCTCTGCTGTTGCCTCCCTGCAAATTGCATTCTGAGGCATATGGCTACTGCCCCTGGAGGTTCCATGCTGCCATTGTGATGGCTAGTGGCCAGTTACGAAGCGCTACCTGCCGTGAGTTCCCCCGATACACTTTTAAAGCGGTCGAAATGTGTGGCCATCATCACCACCATGTCTTGGGGCAGGTGAATTCCAATACCACATTATGCTTAGATTTGCCATGCCAGCTAGATCTGGGGACCCTGGATGCCTGTGGAAGCTGATCAGGATTTCTCCAGCGGGAAGGTGAATAAAAGAGGGCAGATTTCAGTGAAAGAGTGCCTGCCCACCGGTCCTTCAGCATACACCTGGTACGCAGGCTGAGACCCTACCTGCCCACGGACTGTCTCGCTAGAGTGGTGCATGCTCTAGTTATCTTCCGCTTGGACTTCTGCAATGCGCTCTACATGGGGCTACCTTTGAAGGTGACCCGGAAACTGCAATTAAACCAGAATGCGGCAGCTAGACTGGTGACTGGGAGCGGCCGCCGAGACCACATAACACCTGTCCTGAGAGATCTGCATTGGCTCCCAGTACGTTTCTGATCACAATTCAAAGTGTTGGTCTGACCTTTAAAGCCCTAAATGGCCTCGGTCCTGTATACCTGAAGGAGCGTCTCCACCCCCATCGTTCACTGAGGTCCAGCGCCGAGGGCCTCATTGCGAGAAGTGAGGTTACAGGGAACCAGACAGAGAGCCTTCTCGGTAGTGGCGCCCGCCCTGTGGAACGCCCTCCCATCACATGTCAAGGAAATAAGCAGCTATCTTATTTTTAAAAGACATCTGAAGGCTGCCCTGTTTATGGAAGTTTTTGATATTTAATGCTGTATTGTTTCTAACACTTGATTGGGAGCTGCCCAGAGTGGCTGGAGAAACTTAGCCAGATGGGCGGAGTATAAATAATAAATTATTATTATAATAAATTATTATATTACACAATTGTGGGGGAACCCTGTGCCTGTATTAAAAGGTCTAGGATGCTCTCAAGAGTTTACCTAGCATAAGATGCCTTAGAACAAGCCCTTAGAATTCTTTGCACCATGCAAGGCTTCTGCGGCAGGCGTTCACAGGGCACATGGCAGAATGTGAACTCGGAAAGGGTTCCTCGAGAGCGGAAAGTTTTAAAAGCCGCCGGTTTAACACATAGAGTTTAATCCAAAAATTCAGGGCAATCTTATTTGACAACAGCCCTCTCTCATTCTCTGAAAGCTGTTATCCACTACTTGGATAATCTGTTTCAAAGCCATCTTTTAAACCTCAGCATTGTCTCAACAGAAAAGCAGGGCTTGGGTGAATGCTCTGTCTGCTCACCCAGGTGCCCCAAGAGGGGAGGGTTTCTCCCCCCCCCCCCAGGTTTGTGCTCCTTCCTAAAAACTGAGAATCGTCTCCAAAAAAACTGGGAGCAACTTTTTCCAGCTCTGCTGCTGATCTAGCTAACGGTTTCAGCATCTTTCTGTCAAGTCTTTATTATTTGTCGTCGGGTAACATTATATTGTTGTTGTTGCAACACACCCCAAGGAGAATTGACAAGCCATTGCTTTTGTGATCTACTGGTGAGCTTCCAAAGTCATCAATACCTGATCGTTACTGGAAAGAGCAAAGGGCTAGATGGGGCTTCCTCGGATTCAACAAGTCGGTCCTTGCATCCATTTATGCCCAAAGCATGCAAGGGAGAGACCTGTATCATCAATGCACGATCAAGTGGAATATATAACAAGTGATATCTGCAATAAAATGTTGCGGCACATCAATTGTGGGACACTTCTGGCCCTCAAGATGCTGCCGAACCATAACTCCCACCTGCCTCAGCAAGCATAGGGATGATGGGAGTTTAGCAACATCGGGAGAGGGGGCAGCAAAGGTTCCCTTACTCCTCCATTATACCCTAACACCTAATAGTGCTCCTGTTCAGGGTTCCAGTCAACCATGTCAACCATGTCCTATGTCAAGAAGCTGTCAAGGGCTCAAGCAGTTCACTCCCCCTGCCCGATTTTTTGTTTTCCCTTTCCGACTCAACATTTTGTGATTCCCTTGCTTCTACATAACTTGGGAGTTACCTAAGCACGCCCTCTCGATTTCCAGCAGCCCCTTTTGGGCTCTAATTCTGTCAGGATCCTACCTCCGAGGGCACAATTCACAGGGAATGATGCTGAATTGCATGCCCTGTCTCCCCCAGGTCTCTGAGCATGCGTGCCTCCTTCTGTTTAAACAAGGGGTTTGGATGATGGGCTTAAGATTGCAATCTAACAGGTTCCTAACCTGCCTGACTGTTTCAGGTTGTAGCCTCCAGTGTTTGTTTTAGCGGCCATTTTAAGCCATGACAACTTTTTTAAAAAATAAAAATCTGAATACATCTAAATGCATTTATGGGTGCACATGGTATATAGTTTGAGAGTGGATAAACCAAAACAGCATTAGGATGTTTGTGGAGAAAGCAAAGAAAAGCTGGCCTTCTTGCTAGCCTACGGGATAGAATTGCTGCTGCTACATTTATCCTGGAGCAAATTTGTTTTATCCCAGTGTATGTCATCCGACTACATTTTATGCTGCCAGGAGCCTTTGAAGTTATCTTCTGGTAGATTCCCACCCTTAGGCAATCAAACAAGCTATGGTTTGTTTCCCCAAAGCTCAGTTTGTTTTCCAGCTGCTCTCGCCTCAAGACTTTGCAGTTTGGTGACCATCCAGGATGGGGTCAGTAAAAAAATAAAAACAAGGAAGGGTGCTGAATTCACACATGACACCAGGAAACCAAGTTTCATAAGCCAAATAGATTCAGATCATTCTTTGTTAATGGGAAACAAACCATAGTTAAGTTGCTGGGCATGGTTCATATGTAACAATAAAGGTCTTAGCCAATTAAGTTCTACTGAAATCAATGAACCTAAGCTAGTTATGTCCTCTAAGGGCTATCAAGATAATAGTTTACAGTTAGGCTTGTTCTTACAGGCAATGTTCAACTCTAGGCATTACTACTTAAAGTAGAGGTGGAGAACCTGTGGCCTCCAGGTGCTGATGGACTCCAACTCCCATAATTCCTGGCTGCCTGGACTCCAACTCCCATAATTCCAACAACATCTGGAGGACCATAGGTTCTCCATCCTCAAATTAAAGGATCTTAACATTAAAACCAGTGTCTTGTTTCTAAGAGGAACTAGCTGGAAGCTTCCAAGAAGAGTGCAAAGGCACAACATCCTTTCCAAGCTGATTGCCCTCGGCGTCTTGTATTCACAGAGGCATATTGCCCTCTGGTTCACAGAATCAGAAAGTTGCAAGGGATCTCCAAAGGTCATCTAGTCCAACCCCCTGCAATGTAGGAGTTTCCATCTAGCTCTCCTGGCTAATAGGTGCTGGAAGACTGGTTATCCTCCGCAAATATGCCTGCTTGCTTCTTCCCTTTAAGCCCTCTTAGCTAGCGGCCATAAATATATCCAGTGGCGGTGAATTCCGCAAGTTAATTGCACGTTGTATATGAAATACTTCTCTCTTTCGGCTCTCCGGAGCCTTGAGCTATTAATCTGCCGGGGAGGTGCCGCTGCGAGATTACGACCGGCTCCAAGGCTGCCCCGTGAACTGCCGTAGCAAAAGTGGGATTAGAACTCTGCTCTCCCAGATCAAAATATAATCCTCTCCTTGGTGCACTAAGCTTGTGTATATGTTGCGTGTGCGCAGACACCAATGCCTCACACAACCGAAATCTCCCGTGGGGACGCCCCTCTCTTCTCCAGGTCTCTGGGCTGCCTGCCGTTGCCCAAGGGGGTAATTATAAAGGTGTTTGTTTTTGATTGCCTCACTTAGACACAAGTGGCTTTTGCTCAGCGCAGAACCCGCCTTGTGTGTGCATGTGTGTCTATATATCTATATCTGCCTGTCTGATGCAACAGCTGAACACTCAGAGAGGGAAAGATGGGGCCCACTCCCCTCTTATCTAGGGGGAGATGAGCCTCTGACATTCGTCGCTAAGGGGGAAGACTCCAAAATTGGCTGGGGGAACACATGCTTTTGACCCACGTGAATTTTCCAAAGGGGGCACCTTCCATCTGTATCCCCCCCGCAACCCCTACATCTTAGGGCTATGAGAAAGTGAGGCCTGGAAAATCCCTAGAAATGGACTCTTCTGAGACAGCCACGACTAAAATTAGAAGTGCCTGTAACTACGGGTGGAAGCGAGGGAGGACTTTGTGGCCAGGGGAACAGGCCCAAATTATCCCTAACTTTATTAATTATGGTGTTAGAAACACCTGAGGTGGCCTGGAAACACACACACACACACACACACACACACACACACACACACACACTATATCTCATACATTTAAAGAAAAAGAGAAAAGAATCCTGGGAACTGTAGTTTCTGAGACAGCTTGGAAATGTTGCTGTGTGAGGGGAAAACTACAGTTCCCATGATTCTATGGGGGTGGGGAGGTGTGCTTTAAATGAAGGGTGCGTACGTAGCCAGTCGGTCAGAGGAAGTGGAGCCTAGTAGGCGGGCATGAGAATGAGAGGGAGAGAGAAGGGTTGTGAGGCTTACCGTACCTTGCCTCCAGTCCGCAGCGCCATCTTGTTTGCTCGCTGGAGATCGACATCTGCAATACATTCGACTTTGGCGAGAGGATGGCTGTGCAAACAGAGCAGAGGGTTAGGATACCAGCACAAAAAGTGTGTGTGTGTTTTTTTGGTGAGGGGGGTAGAATCTCTGCCAAGAGAATCTGGCTTAAAGATGTCGAGGACCAAAGAGGACACCTCACTGCTCCAAGCCCAAACAGATCAAAGACTGGCTGTGTACATGCCATGCATTTAAAGCACATTACGGACCACCCTGGAAACTGTAGTTTACTCCCAACTTACCTACCATTCTCAGCACATTTATCAAACTACAGTTCCCATGATTCGTTGGGCTGGGATTGCTTTGAATATATGGCTTGTACCACGGCCAGCCCATGACATTTGGGCACCTGAGGGGAACCACAAAATGGCGTCTGCTCCCCCCTGCCAGGGAAGAAGGGGTGAGTAAAGATCAACCTCAGGAACGAGGGAGGAAGAAGTATCTACATAAGGATCAGTAATTGCACCTAGTAGCCCTTAACAGCCTTGGTAGTTGCTGCTGTGCTCAGCTCCCAAAATCCCCTGGGCAATGCAGGCGGAAGCTGATGTTAGTTGTAGTTTGAAAATTTGCAGGGCAACAGGTTTTTGTTTTTACTTTATTATTAGATCTGCCTTTCCTCCTGGGAGCTCAGCGTAGTGTACATGGGTCTCCACACTCCCCGTTTTATCCTGACAACAACCCTGTGAGGTTGATAAAGTTCAGAGATTGCGATGGGCCCAAAGGTCGCCCAGCGAGCTTCATTGCGGAGTGGGGATTCGAACCCAGCCCTCGCCTACAGTGACATCAAATTAATGTTTAAACTTTTCCTGCATTAACTACAACAGAAAACACCAGAATGTCACATCGGTAGAGGGGAAAGGGAGGATTCAGAAGGTGGTTTTGGGGTCCCAAAAGGTTGTGTGAGTTTGCAGCCCGGTGCCACTTCTAAACACTTGACAAGGGTTTAATGTGTGAGCCCAGAAGTTCCAAGTTAAAATTTCATGTCTACCAGAAACTCAGTAGGTGGTCTTATGCATATTCCCTGCCCCCCACCCATATTATTATACGGACAGTGATGGTTTACAGAGGGGTAGCAGTAGCCTACATTACAAGGCTGTTGTAACGATTGCTGAGCCTCTGCATTCACAGCACTTTGAAAGGCTCTGTGTAGGAATGCATGATTCTTAAATAGGAATGAAATGTGAAGCAGCTGAGGGATATTACCAGCAGAAAGGAAGCTGTCTCGATCTATGTCGGAAGCATCGGAGAAGACAGCCTGCGTATGGCACAATATTGCTCAGAGGCACTTCTTCCAGTAAAACTCTGCAAACCTCCCCCCCCCTTTGTTAGAAAATAAACTTCCAAGTGGGTGCATACGGAGCAAACATTTCCACACTAATGTGTCCACAGTGGGTGGGATGAACTTAATAATGAAAAGTTTTGGGGAGCCCAAAGTAACCCACTAAGAGAGAAGGGTGTTTGTTGTGTTTCTGGATGAGTCACCGGCCAGGTAATCCTGCCCCATATCTGGAAAGGACAGGGGTGAACGGGGAGCCTCCAGATGTTTCTGGACTTCCACCAGCTGCGGCCAGCATTGCCAATGGTTAGGGACGATGGGAATTTTGTAGCCCAACCTCTGGAGGGCCACAGGTTCCCCAAACTATGACACACGCAAAGATTCCCTGCCTTCAGAAGGAGACGTACTCTGCAAGTCACACAGATTTATTTATTTATCACATTTTTATCCTGCCTTTCCTCCAAGGAGCTCAGGCTGGTCACGTGGTTCTCTTTTTACAACAACCCTGTGAGGTAGGTTAGGCCGAGAAACTGTGACTGGCTCAAGGTCGCTCAGCGAACTTCACCCAGGATTTGAACCCTGGTTTCTCAGGTCCTAGTCCAACACTCTAACCACTAAAGCACATGGCTTGGGTGGTGGTGTTGTGCTCTTTGGAGGGCAAGTTGCTTTTTATCCCTACATGCTCTTAAAAGGTAAAGGGACCGCTGACCATTAGGTCCAGTCATGGCCAACTCTGGGGTTGCGGTGCTCATCTCGCTTTATTGGCCAAGGGAGCTGGCATACAGCTTCCGGGTCATGTGGCCAGCATGACTAAGCCTCTGGCAAACCAGAGCAGTGCACGGAAACGCCGTTTACCTTCCCGCCAGAGTGGTACCTATTTATCTACTTGCACTTTGACGTGCTTCCGAACTGCTAGGTTGGCAGGAGCAGGGACTGAGCAACGGGAGCTCACTACGTCGCAGGGATTCGAGCCGCCGACCTTCTGATTGGCAAGTCCTAGGCTCTGTGGTTTAACCCACAGCACCACCCGCGTCCCTTAATTCAGGGTCCAAGGTTCAGGGTCCAAGAGTAAAGTGGCCTTGTAGTTTTAAATCAGACCTTCTCAGTGTTGGCTCCCAACAGTGTGGGACGCCCTCCCTATAGAGGTGTGTTGGGTACCATCCTTGCCAAGCTTTAAGTGGTCAATGAGGGCTGGCCTCTTATTATTGAATGTTATTGGCCTATTGTCCCGCCGATATGCGCTGCATGGCATTTTGGGGTGGGGTCATTTTTGATACAATTTATTGCATTATGTTTCCTGGACGTAACTGGCCTTTAGGGTGAAGGGCAGTTAACAACCAGAACCAAATAATGAAGACCACAAAGGAAAAGACGTGCTGGCTACCAGTACTTTCCATCGTTTGTGGAACACAAATGCAAAAACCAGTAGAAGGAGGACAGTTCCCACTAGGGCCTGGAATACAAGGGGTTAACCCGAGGAGCTTGAGGCCTGACACCTGTTTAAAGAGACATGTGGGAATTTTCCGGTCTTGACCCCTGCCGCTGACCCCTGGCGACCAGGCTACTGGGGAACCAGGCCAAAATATGGGAACAATCTCCCCAGGCATGAAAACTGACAGCTTGGGGGAATGGAATGACAGGGGGGTGGGGGTGGGGAGAGGCTATACAAGGACCCAAGGCGGAGGGGGGGCTGGAGATGGGGCGAGGGGGGCTGGCTGAATAGCCCTTGCATCCACCCGCTCCCTGCCCCCCACCGCACAAATCCCAACCTCCCAATTCCTTTTTTTTTTTACTTTCTTTTTCAGTCTTCCATTTCACCTCCCAGAAAAGACCCCTTTGCAGATGCAATTTCTACCCGCCGCCCCCCTTTGCCCTGCGCTGTCCTTGGGACTCCCTCTGGGTGAAGGGAGGGCACGAGGCAAGGAGGGTGGGGTGGGTGGAGAGGGTCACAAGCCCAGGGAGCAGGCAGCAGCCGAGAGGTCTGGTGCCACATTTTCTGGGGCCCGGCTATAAATAGCCGGCGTTATAAATAATGCAGCATTATTCCCTCTATAATTATCGGGTGGGAAGTTTGTGGCCGGGCTGGCGTATTACACGGCTGTGCAGGCCGGCACCCTCCTGCCTCCCTTACGCCAGTCTTCCTAATTTACACTCCTTCCTCGCGGGGCCCGTCCCTCCTGCCAGACGGACAAATCGAGCAACCGGATCCCTCCATTACTCTGGAGCAAAAGGCTCCACGGCGCAGACCGCATCCTTTTCATTTAAACTCCCAGGGAAATAACGGAGTGGAACCCTCACCCCCACTGTTGGGGGAGAAAGGGAGCCAGCCTCCCCACTTCACCCCACCCCACCCAAAAAGCTTTTGCAATTGTAGCCCCTGCTAGGCTGAGGTTAATTTCGAAGGCAGAAATTTTGACCCGCTCGGCTTTAAGCCTGTCCAGAAGACGTGCCCCGCTGACCCACGGAGCCTGTTCCCTAATCCGACATGTGTGTGGGTTGCCCGGGGTTACTTGGTAGTGAAGGGAAGGCAGGTGGGATACGCTCAGAAACACACGTGTCATGTTACAGGGTAGATTCTGGAGATTTAGCATGCTCTGGGGCTCAGTCCCGGCATAAATTAAGACCCACTTCATTGTGACATCATCATCATTATTATTATATAGCACCACCAGTGCATGGCAGTTTATAGCATGCAATAGGACAGGTCTCTGTCCAGAGGAGCTTACAATCAACGTCATGATACTAGAGTTCCCTAGGTATATCATTTAAAATGCATCTACTTTGTTAGGGTTTTAGTCCTGTTTTAACTGTATTTGCTGCTTTTAATCTTGTGTGTTAAATCACCCTGAGGCAGTTGTTTGGAAGGCAATTAACAAATCACTGATAATGCAGTAGTAATTAATATCCAGCCCAATTGTTTAGCTCCCTTGTTTAGAGGCAAACTGTCAAATCTGCTTTCCTCTACACATGAAAACACCTCCAGGCATCTCAGAAATATAAGCAGTACTGTACACACACTAACAAATTTTGACAACATCCCGAGTCTTAGCAAATTGGGGGTGTCCAAGCCGGCACGGGTGGGGAAACTGAGGCAGACACAGTGAACAGGGATGATGAATGCACGCCTGTTTGTTCCTAACAACACCCTCTTGCCTTAAGGGAGATGGGAATAAAGGGTGCCCCTTTCTGCTGTGGGAGAATTGCATTCTGACCTCCCTCTACAGGTCTACTCAGAAGTAAGTCACAGAGGTCAATGGAAGAGTTTGTTTCAAATATGTACTCCGTTCACACAGCTCACTGGGTGGCCTTCAGTTACTCAACCTTGCATACCTCACACAGTTTTATCAGACGCATAGGATTATATATATATTGTAACTCACGGAGTCCCTCTAATATGGTACAGTGAGAAATAAATCTAGATGAATTCAAAATAAACAAGCCTTCTTTTTTGGCTCGGCTAAAATATGGGACGTAGGAATTCAGGCTTTCATAAAAGGCCCTGTCAGAAGTGATGCTTACGTGCCTCTCTTTTTTAAAACCTTCATCTTCCACAAGTCTACTGCAGATGAGGTTTCGGTCAGGTTTTGTTTTTTTACACTGAAACCGGTTCCCTACGCATGCTGTTAAAGCGATATTCGCAAGGACCGCAATATTTGCAAGGACCGGCAATCCGGGTTTAAAATGGCTCCCTTGTGATTCCAACATCCAGACATGGACCAAAGTTTTTGATGCAGCTGAACTGTATCCCACGGGGAAAGAGGGAGGGAGGGAGAAGAACTTTGAGAACTGTAGCCCCTGATAGGCAAAAGTTAATATTTAAAAGGCAAAAATTTCCACGCTGGGGCCTTGAGCCTTTCGAGAAGACCTGCTCTTTCCAATACAGTTGAAAGCACACACCCCAAATTTGTAATATCAACTTCTATCAGTTATACATTTCTGGGGGTTTTTTAAGTCACTCTTCTGCTTTCATAATAATGCAACACATTTTAGGATTCAGTGGTTGTTGTTTTCAAAGACCTTCTGAGCACCATTTAGAATCAATCATAGCATTTCATTTATAAATGTCCTTAGGTTTAAGCCTTTTTTCAAGGGGGGGGGTTAAAAACAAAGACTCTCCCCTACCTACCTACCCACCCACCCACCCACCCACCCACTTCTACCTGTATTCAAGACTGTTCTTCTACATCTTCCTTGGTGTCCCCCCCCAAAAAAATCATAATAATTGGGGAGTTTGTGATCACCCCATTTGGTGTTGGGTCCAAGAATCAGAGGCATGCAACGTCTGGACCGATTATGCAAAGTGTTCTGCCCCACATGCAACACTCCCCCCTCCCCCAAAAAATAAGAAGACAGAGCTGAGGGTGGGGAGGAGAAGAGAGAGAGAGAAAAGAGAGACTTACAGAGCAAAGAGGAAGAGAGGGCTTTCTTTGTGTGGGGCTGCCCCATAGACGGGCTAAGTCGTCCCCTCCCTTTTTGCCCCCGGCCAGCTGGGAAAGTCAACTCCGGGGAGCCGGCCGGAGGGAAAGAGCGAGCGAAGCGGGTATATTTAGCCGCAGGGCGGGGTCGGCCGCCTGAGGAAGGAGGGAAGGAGGAAAAGAAGGAGTAAAGCGGGATTAAACTCTAGAAGGGGACGCCCGGCGCCTTGTGACTCCTCCATCGCCGAAATAGCAGCGCGAGGCGAGAGGAAAAGTTTGTTCCTGCGGCGGAATTAGCAGCAGGGCACTAAAAACAGCTGCAGCGAAAGCAGCGCCGCCGCCGCCGCCGCCTCCCTGGCCCGGGGCGCCTGCCAGCTGGCAGCCAGCTCCGGCCCTGCCCTGCCCGGCCCGGCCTGCCTGCCCGCTCGGAGCGAGAAGCGCGGCAGACACAAGCACAGGCCCGCACGGCCCTTCGCACGCACGGCCAGGCTCCCTTTGTTGCCGCTTCCTCAGCGCCGCCGCCGCCCGTAAGAGGCGTGGGTTCCGCCTCGCTGGCGCCCTCGGCCGCGCAGCGCCTCCTGCCGGCGGCGGCGCGGCCGGCAGGGGGCGCTAAGGACGAAGCGCCCGGATACGAGGCGGCGACAAGGCAGCTCCCGCCGCGTCTCTGTGTGAGTCTCCGCTCTGGCTTGCCTCCTCCTCCTCCTCCCCATCAGCTTTTTTTCTGTTTCTCACCAGGCGTCAGGATTTAGATTTAGATCTGGTGCGGCCCTAAGCTACTGAAGGTAATGGAGCCCTTTATATGGCCAGCGGTCATTTGTCAACAACAAATTGTCGCTGTTTCTTGCGTTGGCTATATGCTGTATGGTAATTTATGGACCTAACAGGTACCTAAAGGCATTTGCACATAACAAAATACGTATTTTATCAAGGTAATTGTTGAAAAATCCATGCAGAATGTAAGCCCCCTATATATAGAAATGAGCAAAGCAGTGATATTTTAGGGAGCAGGCTAGCAGACCTGCTTACATCATAGGAGCCTACACGACACAAAACACTGTTGCTGTATGTAGGTTTTATTTTATATGTTTTTTATCTTATATTTTGGAAATGTACATCCACTTTTTTCCCCTTTAAATTTTTTGGGGGCCCCAAGAGAGTGTGGCCCTAAGCTATAGCTTCTTTAGCTTATACGTAAATCCGGCACTGATCAGGAGTACCACCTTGAATAAAATATTTGCAGGGAGAGGGAGCAAGCAAGTTCAGACTTTCCAAATGTCTCTCTTATCCAGGGACAGTCCCAGATTTACAGACATTTCTGATTTGATCCCGGAATGTGCCGCTTTCCCTTAGGACACCCTGATTTTCGTCGGAGGAATGTTGGAGGAGATGCAAGCTCCACCCTGCATAATTGGTCACAGCGCAAGCAATGCCCATCAACTTGGGGGGAGGGCCTTCAAATATTTTATTAGGGGGTCCGAAGGGCCCTCAGCACCTAGGAATTTGCTCCTATGATACACATACACACACACACCAGCTTCCACACCAGTCAGTGCAATTCAGATATATCTTCAACATATTAAGCGGTATAGAAATCAAATAATCAGTCGATTCATTCTCTCTTGTGCCAAGATCAGTGAAATACAGGGGGAACCTGGAATTGTAGAGTTGGAACAGATCCCAAGGGTCAGCTAGTCGAATCTCCTGCAATGCAGGGATCTCAGCACACAGTCCCCCATCCAGTTTGGAACCATAACCAGATCCTGTTTAGCTTTGCAAATGTGCTAGCCGTTTTATTGCTGAAGGAGTTTCCTCTCAGTATATATTACTCTCAAAACAAAAGTTTTATGGTTAGACATAGAAGTGTATCTAACTGTAATGCAATTAAAAAGAAAACAGAAAGCCTGTAGTTATCAGCAGCCTGGGTGCCAGGAAACATCAATTTGTCTCCCCTCCACTGGGAGAATGCCAAACTGCAGAGATTAGCAGTAGTTACGTTAAAGGTGGCCTGCGTATGTCAGAGGCTCTTCACGTATTCCTTTATGTTCCAAAACTAAAGGGAGCTTTTGTTTCTGTTTCTTTTCTTTCTTAGAAGAGAGAGGTGCCCATCGTTTTAGAGGCCACCTGTTTCCAATTTTGAAACCTAAGGGCTTCAAAGTGCGCTTAAGGGCCTCTGTGTCTGTCCACTAGCTGAAGGGTTTTGTAGGGTCAGAGGCCACCTGAACCTATTTTCTGTGTCAAATCTCAGCTCTGGAACCTGTCAGTGTGCAAAGTAGCCTTCACTCATGCAACTTGGGACAATTTGTGTATGTGTGTGATCAGATGCGGATGAGCTTTTAAGCACCACAGAACTATTTATCATGGCAAAATGGAAACCAAGAATACAGACCGCAGCTTCTTGGATAATTACAGCACCCTACTTGCCAACATTTAAACTGGGGAGGGAAATGTGATTAAGTCGCAAATGGCAAATATTTGTTTTGGTGACCTAAACTGCTTCTGACATTTTTTCATTCCACCCAGTTAAAGAGTGTAACTCTAAAGCTTGCGTGTTCGTACACCAACAGAAAGGGGTAAAATACATTTCTTTTCTAGCTTTGCATTTCTTGTGGCTACCCAATGAATCCAGCAATTTCCTCCCACTCATCAAGGACCTCTACAGTGCTCCCAGCAGATCCCCCCGCTATTGTTTACATATCAGATCTGAAACACCAGCAGCTGTGTTACAAAAGACCCAGTGGCCCAATATTCTGATGCAGCACGTAATATTTAACGTATTGAATAGGCGGTGCAGAGAACCATGCCTATCTGGAAGTGCTGTCCCTAACCCCAGCTATGTGAAGGTGGTAAGAGGAAGATGCTTTTCACATGCTCAGAGACACTCTTTTCCAGCCAAGCTGGAAGTCAAATGTAAATCAGTCCATGGCTAATATGGAAACATCCAGATCCTATGTCCAGAGCTGAAACAGATCCCATTGATTCAGGCCACTGTGAGAGTTGTTTGAGATTAAATATTACACCGTGTGTGTGTGTGTGTGTGTGTGTGTAAGTCACTGGACTGCTTATGGAAAGCTAACTGGAGAATATGTTCTATTGCCCTGGGTGGGGACTAGCTTCTAAAATAGAGATTATGTTCTCCATTCCAAGGATATCCTCACAGCATCAACGCAGTTCTATTTAGGAGAAGTGCTAGAGGAACTTGCAAGGCTAGCTTCAGAGGGTGGCATGACTGGACATTTGTGGGAGCTTCAAGAGCAGCAGAGAGCCCATTGCACTGAGAATGCTGCCATTTCCGCCTTGCACAGAGTACAGTTCGGGTTAAGTACTTAATTTGTTCCAGAGGTCCGTTCTTAACCTGAAACTGTTCTTTACCTGAAGCACCACTTTAGCTAATGGGACCTCCTGCTGCCGCCGCACCGCCGGAGCACGATTTCTGTTCTTATCCTGAAGCAAAGTTCTTAACCTGAAGCACTATTTCTGGGTTAGTGGAGTCTGTAACCTGAAGCGTATGCAACCTGAAGCGTATGTAACCCGAGGTACCACTGTATCTGATGCAGTCAAAGATAATTCTCTTTTTTTAAAAAAAAAATTTTGCTCAATTTCCACATAAGAAATTATCAAACCATATAATCACCTATATAATTCCCCCCATGGGCTTCCCTCAGCTCCTCTCCCTGGTTTCACTGCACATATTTTCTCTGCATATTATAAAATTGTATATATCCTTACATATCTTTCCATCATGTTATCAACAATAAATTTGTGTATGTTTATTCAAAACCTGCCAAGGAATCCAGTTCATTTTGTTGTATTTTTAAATAATTTGTGTAAAGTTCCCATTCCTCCTTAAAGTCACAGTTGTCCTTGTCTCGCAGTTTGTATGTCAGTTTAGCCAGTTCTGCATAGTTCATCAATTTCTCTTGCCACTGTTCTTTTGTCGGGGTTTCCTCATTCTTCCACCCTTGTGCGATCAAGACTCTTGCAGCTGTTGTAGCATACATAAACAAGTTCCTTATTTTCCTTGGCAGGTCTTGTCCTACAATCCCTAACAAAAATGCTTCTGGTTTTTTTTACAAATGTCATTTTAAACATTTTCTTCAATTCATTCTATATCATTTCCCTTTTTTATTTTTTTTAATATTTACATTCCCACCACATATGAACAGCCAAATATAATTCTCGGTTTGTAAATCCTGCTTGTTCTATTTTGGCCCCTGAGGGTGCTGTGTGCCCAAGGGCCCGCAAAATCCTGGATCCACCAATTGGGTGGGGTGCTGGGAGACTGGTTGTCCCCAGATAATTTTTTCCCCTAAATATCTAATTTTAGGACACTGAGCAGGGGTGCGGAGCCTCTGGCCCTCCAGATGTTGTTGGACTACAACTTCCATCATCCCTGTTGAGTTGGAGTCCAACATCTGGAGTGACACAGGCTCCCTACCCCTCCAATGCAGGTTTCAGATCTTATACCGGAGGTTTGCAGTGCAATGCTCTGCATATCCACTCAGAATGAGTCCCGTTGAGTTCAGTGGAGTTTACTTCCAGGTACGTGGGTATATAGGGACGCGGGTGGCGCTGTGGGTTAAACCACAGAGCCTAGGACTTGCCGATCAGAAGGTCGGCGGTTCGAATCCCCACGAGGGGTGAGCTCCCATTGCTCGGTCCCTGCTCCTGCCAACCTAGCAGTTCGAAAGCACGTCAAAGTGCAAGTAGATAAATAGGTACCGCTCCGGCGGGAAGGTAAACAGCGTTTCCGTGCGCTGCTCTGGTTCACCAGAAGCGGCTTAGTCATACTGGCCACATGATCTGGAAGCTGTACACCGGCTCCCTCGGCCAATAAAGCGAGATGAGTGCCACAACCCCAGAGTCGGTCACGACTGGACCTAATGGTCAGGGGTCCCTTTACCTTTACGTGGGTATAGGACTGCAGCCCCAAAGAGGCAAAATGCGTTCCACAGTGCAACCTGCACCATCTATTTTCAGTGCATATGGGTTCAGCTTTACTGCTTGAGTTTTGACATACTGTTATTATTTCATTTATGCCTTATGCAAAAAAAAGGGGGGGGAGAAGCAGCAGCAAAAATGCCTCTAGGCGATTTACAGTTTAAGA